ATCTGAAGAAATAAAACTGCTGCCTCACACTGCAATCCAACAACACCGACCTACAGAATGTCACTTCCCTCAAAATAGTTTGAATTAAAGCAGTGGGGAGCAGAACTAACACATGTTTAAAATTTGTGTGTGTGCGTAGCAGAGAAAAACAATGAGAGCAGAGAATTCACTGAGCGAAAAAAACGTATTTTTTTATTTCATTTTTCGTTAATTCAAAAGTTGGAATGGGCACTAAAATTGAGTATTTTATTTTAAAAAAGCTTTGCTAGCAACATTTCTTAAGGGGAGGGTAAGGTCAAATCATGCGAAAAAAGCCATGTTTTTGTGATTTTTTTCCTGACGACACAGTTAAAATTTATTTATTCAACCCACGGTATATTAAAGTATGACATTAGAAGAATGTTTTATCAAATTTTTACAAAAAAATATTTAAAAATATGGCAATGGTAGCAATTGTCCGGACGTGTCGCCAAAAAAAGTTGAATTGCGGTGCCCCTCATAACTCGGTGCTGGATCATTTGTAATCAAAAAATGAAAATTCATTCGTTAGATAATAGTTCGCCCCAGGTAACGCTGTAAAGGTTTTTTGAAAATTGCAATTTTTAATTTTTTCGAAGACTTTGAAGTGAAAAACTCAATTTTTGGGAAAAAATCGGTTAATTTTTCATTGCAAAATCAAAACTATGATGAACACAAAAAAAAAACTCGACAGCGTTACCTCGTAAAATATGTACAGAAATAGTGTTTAAAATTTCAAAAGGATCGGTGCAGTAGTTTTGAAGTTATGAGGGGCACCGACTTTGAAAACGTGAGTTGTGGGAAAAACGCTTTAAAGTTTTAAACACAAAAAAATCCAGTGTAAAACGTTAATAAGCAACTTCGTCAATAACTAATAACTTCGTCAATTTTGCTTTAATTGACTTGAAATTTTGACACAATATTCTTCAGATATTATGCATTCAATTTAAAAAATAAAAAAAAAATGGAAAAAAAAAATATTTAATACCTTACCCTCCCCTTAAACAAATGAAAAACTACGCTTCATTATCTATATTCTCCATGAAAAAAAATTTTTCCAACCCAATTTCTGAAAAAATTTTCCTCAGTGGAAAAATTTTGATTTTTAAGCCTAGTACTGAGTTGACGAAAATCCGCTCTTCAAAATCTGACAGCTGTCAAACTCCATATAAAAAAAACGGTATAAAAAAAAAAGAAGAAGAATTTTTGGTCTTCTAAATTTTTCGGGTACTGAGTTGAGAAAAATTTTAGGTCTTCGATTGAATGGCGTTGCCGGATCAAAAAAAATAAACAGCTGATTTTGGGTCTTGAAATAAATCATTTTATTTATTTGAAGAGCTAAAACATGGAGGGAAAATTTGAAAGAAAAAAATTGTCCGACCGAAAAATTTTCGGCGTGCGAGGATAAATTGAAATTAATTAGTGCGGTCAGGGCGAAGCCCATAATATAGGATTTGACCCGCAAGGAGCATTTTAATTCCATAAAATGGCATTGAAATGATTTGTGATTGATTTTTATTTTGATTTTGACACAGTTTTCTATTTCCTAATCAGCTTCTTAGGGGCGAAATACATAAACAAAACACCAAAATCCAATTGATTTGAATTCATATTTGTTTATTGTTATTTTGTTTACAAACAACAGCTGTTCAGTATTACCTTATTTCTTAATTTTGTTGGTCACACTAGCTCGGTAGCCGAATAAAGTGCAATTTCACAAGCGGAATTTCAAGAGCGGATTTTCGTCAACTCAGTACTAGGCTTAAAGCATAGTACTGAGTTGACGAAAATCCGCTGTCCAACGAGTGACAGCTGTCAAACTCCATATAAAAAAAACGGTGTAAAAAAGGAAAGAAGAAGAAATTTTTGCCTTCTGGATTTTGCGGGTACTGAGTTGACGAAAATTTTTGTTATCGATTTTAATGGTGTTGCCGGATCAAAAAAAAAAAAACAGCTGCTCTCGGGGTGTTAAAATAAATATTACAATTTATTTTTATAGGTGTGACATGGAGGGTCAATTGACCAAACAAAAAAATAGTCGGCCCGAAACATTTTCGACGCGCCAGGACAAATTAAAATGAATTTCTGCGGTCAAGACGAAGCCCATAATATGAGATTTGACCCACAAGGGGCATTTTTTTTTTTTTTTTTTTTGTATTAAGTTACTTTCATCCAGGAAATTGGGGAAGATTTATTTGGCCGTCCCGAAGGGGCATTTTAATGCCATAAAATGGCATTGAAATGATTTGTGATTGATTTGGATTTTGATTTTGACCCAGTTTTCTATTTCTTAATCAGCTCCTTAGCGGCGAAATACATAAACAAAACACCAACATCCAATCGTTTTGAATTCATTTTTGCTTATTTGTTTTTTGTTTACAAACAACAGCTGTTCAGTATTACCTTATTTCTTCATTGTTTTGGTCACACTACCTCGGCAGCCGAATAAAGTGCAAAATCGCTATCAGAATTTCAACAGCGGATTTTCGTCAACTCAGTACTATGCTTTAGTTTGGGCTGTCAAATGAATCAAAATGAGAGAGCTTCCAAAAAAAATTTGAGAGTGATCGCACTGTCAGTGTGCCGGCAGCGCTGCGGCAGAATTTCCTACCCTATACTCGCGTGCTATGTAAAATGAGAGTTTGCCCACCACTGAATTAAAGTAACCAAAATCTACAAATGTAGAAAACCTCACTCTAGAACTAGCCAAAAAAAAACGTAATCAAATGTCTATCTTATACGTGGTCAAATCCATCATGTCTAAAATCGACTACGGGTTACACATATATGGAAATACGCCTAAAACCACACTAAGAAAGGTAAAACAATTTACCACTCAGCAATAAGAATCGCTTTCAACGCAAACGAAATTTGCAATATGCACCACCTTTAGGCTTTATAAGAGATCGGAAAAATCAAAAGCTAAAGTTTCTGCACCACCTCCATAGGAGAAATTTTAAAGATTAAAAAAAAAAAAAGTCCTGCTACTATGGGTCCCTGGACACTGCGTGATCATAGGAAACGAATTCTCGGATATAACGGAAAAAATTTCTCAACCAAACAAAATTAACCACGAATTAAGCAGACTCAATTAAATTCACTCGATTAAGACTAGGCCACACCAACGTAACCCACAGCCACTTAATCAATAAAACACCATCACACAGTGATGCGGCTTGTATGGGGAGAGCGGCCAAAAATACTTCTAGTTGAGGTAGGGACTGGAAACTTGGCACAAAATAATACAACCTACCAAATTTTACAAGGATCAGCCGACTATATCCTATAGCTGCCATATAAATGTTTGATCGGAAATGACCCAACTTTTGTGCTTTTTAAGATAGATCGTTTTTTTTTTTTTTTGTAATAGCAGGGTAACTTTTATTTAAAACTGTCCATTACGGACAACCATTAAATGTTATCATAAACAAAGCGGAGCAAGCATATGACTATTTAGATATTGATTGAGCTGTTTACGTTGCAAATATTCCAAAAATCACCCAACAAAATGGGTAGTTCAATTGTGGAGGAAAACGGCGACAATTAGTCATTATACCCTTGCAGAGGGTATTATAATTTTGTCCAAAAGTGTGCAACGCAGTGAAGGAGACATCTTCGACCCTATAAAGTATGTATATTCTTGATCAGGATCACCTCCTGAGTTGATATGAGCATGTCCGTCTGTCTGTCCGTTTGTCTGTTTCTACGCAAACTAGTCTCTCAGTTTTAAAGCTATCGACTTGAAACTTTGCACACACCCTTCTTTCCTTTGCACGCAGTATATAAGTCGGAATCGGCCGACTATATCCTATAGCAGCCATATAACTGATTGATCGGAAATGGTATAACTTCGGTCTTTTTGAAGATAGAAAGCTGGAACAGATTACAGATTATATTTTTGGTCAGTTTATCCGACCTACCGAGTTTCATAACGATCGGCCGACTATATCTTATAGCTGCCATATAACTGAACGCACGATATAACTTCGTGCGGAGCCGAAGTTGATATACCCTTGCAGTTAAATCCTGCAGTTATCACAAACATAGGATATAGTTGGCCGATCTTTATGAGAATATCATAATATAACCAATTAATAAAAAATAAAGCTAAAACAAAGTACCAAGCTTCTATCTTCAAAAATACCAAAGTTGGTACTTTTACCAAATACCATTTCCGATCGTTCAGTTATATGACAGCTATAGGATATAATCGGCCGATCCTTATAAAATTTGGCACGGCCAAAAATTATGTTGCTAAAAAAAAAAAAAAAAAAAAAAAAAAAAAAATAGCACTCATGCAAAACAACCAGGTTACAGCATTTCCAATCAATCAGTTATATGGCGTGGACAGACTGACATGGTCATATAAACTCACGAGGTGATCCGGATCAAAAATGAATATACTTTATAGGATCGGAGATGTCTCCTTCACTGCGTTGCACACTTTTGACCAAAATTATAATACCCTCTGCAAGGGGTACTCTCACTCACCAACAAGCTCGACGAAAAAAGTTGACCGTTTTGGGCCCTGATGTTCCTTCTATGTACTTTATAATCTTTGCTCTAATTTAAAAATTGGTCTTAGTATAATCTTTTTTAATTTATGCCATGAAAGGGGCGTGGCAAAATTCTAAGCTTAGATTAATTTGACGGCAACATAAACGCGAGTTGCTGATAATATTTGGTAGGTTTAGCTTAGGTCTAAAAATGCAACACACTTAGACACAATAACAGCTTAAAAAAAATGGAAAAAGTTAGCCTTGTTGTGTCTAAGTGAAAATGTCAAAAATGCATAGAAACAGACGTACATGCTTACATTTTTTCGACACGTCACCCTGATTAAGAATACATATATATATTTTACAGCGGATTTCGTAACTACATTTCCCGCAAAACTATAATCAATTTTTCTTTCTTTTATTACACCCCCTAGACAATTACTCCATAGGTAATAAGGGCTAATTATGAGTAAAAATATTTACCAGTATCAAGCAGCCACAAATCGCCTAATCGGCATCCACTCATTCCGCCATAAATTAAAAGATTAAGTTTTCCAGTATTCTTGCAAGAAAAGGAAATACCAGTGTGAGACTCTCGTGGTGGTGGACTATCGCCATATGTTTTAGGCACTATCCACTTCCCATTGTGACTGTGTACTCCTCTAGTATCCAATATATACAAATCATTTAAATACCTGTTAAAAATGTAGAAAGGAATAATGAAAAAGAGAGGAAAGCAAACTTCGGGACGAGCCGAAGTTAATATACCATTGCAGTTAAAAGCGGATATGTATCGCAAACTTCGGATATAGTTGGCCGATCCTAATGAGAATATTAAAATATAATCAATTTATTACAATACAAAAACTAAAAATAGGTCCCAAGCTTTTTTCTTCAAAAACACCAAAGTTGGTATTTTTACCATACACCATTTCCGATCGTTCAGTTATATGGCTGCTTTAGGATATTGTCGGCAAACTAAATATAGTCAGTTCCGAAGTTTCAGTTTTCTATCTTCTAAAACACGAAAGTTTGGTTCATTCATCAAAATCCGAACTCTCTAAATGTAAAAACACCAAAGTTATAAGATTTCCGATCAATCAATTATATGACAAGGATATGGACGGCCGATTCCGACTTATATACTGCGAGAAAATAAAATGCTGTGTGAAATGTTTGAAGTCGATAGCTTCGAAACTGAGGGACTAATTTTCCTAGAAACAGACAGACAGACGGGAATGCTCAAATAAACTCAGGAGGTGATTCTGATCAAGTATATATATACTTTATAGGGTCGGAGATGTCTCCTTCACTGCGTTGCACACTTTTGGACAAAATTATAATACCTTACTTACTTAATAACTTACTTTGGAATATTATTTTTAGGGTCATCCGATTCGTTCGCCAAGCCACCAAACAAAAATATTTTTTCTCCAACCATCGTAAAACTGTGTCCCAAACGAGGGCACGGAGAAATTCCCGGTTCTGGGGATTCTGGGTACATTTTTCTCCACTCCCATTTGGTAGCTTGAAGTTCATATAGTTCGTTCGAATATTTTCCGTATTCGATCATTCCCCCAAAGACGAACATTCGTGTACCTTCAACGACAAATCCATACGCGGCGCATCCGTTCGGCACATCCCCTTTAAGGACGGGTACATACCATTGATTTGTAACTAATAAAATAGTAATAATAAGCGTAGTTTCCAATTAAGGATATTAATAATAAAAAATAAAATGCATTTTTTTTTAGAAATTTTATGTCAGATAATTTGATATATAATACTAGAAAACATTTAATAAATCTTATTTTACAAGCGGAACGTTGAAACTGTCTTTCCCAACTAGCTCAAAAAATTAATAATTAATTAACAAAAAAAAATTATAATAATAAAAAAAATATTAACAAAATATTGAAATAGGTTAAGGGGGGACATCTGAGTAGAGTTTTGAAAAAATCGAAAAATTTTTTTTCGCTTAAAAAATTCTTTAGTCTTAAAAAAACATATCAAAAAAACAAGAAAGCAAAGCTAACTTCGGGCGGAGCCGAAGTTGATATACCCTTGCAGCTAAAACCGGATATATATCGCAAACATCGGATATAGTTGGCCGATCCTTATGATTACATCATAATAAAACCAATTAATTACAATAAAAAATCTAAAAAAAAGTCGCAAGCTTCTATCTTTAAAAATACGAAAGTTGATATTTCTACCAAATACCATTTCCGATCGTTCAGTTATATGTCAGCTATAAGATATAGTCAACCGATCGTTATGAAATTTGGTAGATCGGATTAACTGACCAAAAATAGAATGTGTACCAAGTGCCAACTTTCTATCATCAAAAACACGAAAGTTGGGTCATTTCCGATCGTTCAGTTATATGGCAGCTATAGGATATAGTCGGCCGATCCTTATGAAATTTGGCATGTCGTAATATTTTGCCAAACATATCTCTCATGTCAAATTTGAACTCTCTAACTCTAAAAACACCAAAGTTATACCATTTCCGATCAATCAGTTATATGGCAGCTATAGGATATAGTAGGCCGATCCCGGCCGTTCCGACTTATATACTGCGTGCAAAGGAAAGAAGGGTGTGTGCAAAGTTTCAAGACGATAGCTTTAAAACTGAGAGACTAGTTCGCGTAGAAACGGACAGACAGACGGACAGACAGACAGACGGACAGACGGACATGCTCATATCAACTCAGGAGGTGATCCTGATCAAGAATATATATACTTTATAGGGTCGGAGATGTCTCCTTCACTGCGTTGCACACTTTTGGACAAAATTATAATACCCTCTGCAAGGGTATAAAAAGTGCGGCAAAAGTGCCTAAGTGTCGAAATTTTTCATTCTGCGGCAACGCCTCAGAGGTATATCCCACAGTACTTAAAACTTTTGTACTGTAAATATATATAATATAATAAAACCTCATTTAAAAATTTTCGCTTGGCTTTTTCATTTGGCCAAAAAAAAAAAATTAAAGGAAATCCACTTTTTTTTCGCCTGTTACTCAGATGTCCCCCCTTATCATGGTTACCCATGACGAAGTTGCCAAGCTGATCCAGCATAGTCGTCACGAAAATAATGCAAGGCCAGCGTCACCTGCGGATAAGGCACAACCACATTGCTTTCCGATCCGCGCTATCGGCAATGCACTGCAACACAACAGCGGCTACCAGACAACATGCGCGGAAGCCGGGTCACCACTTTCAAAACATAGGGCTACACTTTCGATATAAGAATTTATGTAGTTAGCAAATATTAAATTTCAAATTTTGGAACCCTCCAATTACCATCAAATAAATCTCAATGCGTGCTGACGGCAGATTTGTTGGCCCTAACACCGGCGAAAAATACAAGTTATCGATCTAAATAATTTGTTTATAGTATCTACAAATTACCATTCATTATAATGAAAATTCATCATTCATTTTTATGAAAACGACTTAAATAACTATAAACACTAGAGCGATTTATTTAAATACCAGTGTTATACACGTGCAATTCGTCGACAATTCCTTCATTACCGCCGCCAAAGACCACCATGAGCTCTTTTATGTTTATAGCGCGGTGACCGTGCCTAGGTCGCGGCTGTGGACCTGTGGGGTTGAGAACACGTTTCCATCGAAATCCCGGTAGGTTTTTATGTGAATAGTCGGAATTTTTTTCTATATCCATATCAAGCAAATTACATGTTGAGAGCTGATCAGTTTGTAAAGCTTGTTCGGTGTTTAAGTCAACTAAAATACCTTCTCCTGAAGAGATGGTTCCATTCACTGTATCAGTACATTCCATATTTAATGTACTATAGTATTGCTTAGTTGACGGTTTAAGGATGCATTTTCTGTACAAATCAAAATTATCCTAAAAAGTATTAGAGAATTAACATATGTATGTCTTTTTTTTAACGAATAGATATTTTTTGGGAAATACGGTTAAGGGAAGATTCCTTATGGGAAGTATTTTTTATTACCAATTTTTAATTTACACAATTTTAGAAGTTCAAAATACTGACGAAGGTAATGGGCTCTAGTTAAGTTTATTTTAATCTGGCAATGCTGGCAATGGACGCTTCACCATTAGGGTAAAGCATTTCAGGGTTACACTTACGCGAATCTGCATAAACAAACAACAGTTTAAAAGCACAAATTTCTTTTTTCTTTTTAATAGGTATTATTTGAACTTCTTGTTCAATTTGGTATGTATATAAATAAAACATATACACATATATTTCACGTTACCTACAGTGTACCCCGAACCAAATAGTCACACACAATCAAGTTTGCTAGTGGTGTTAGATTTTTCGATATTTTCAACAAAATAATATCGAAATAATACTTTAAAAATATCAGATATCGGTATTAAAATATTTCATGTATGAAAAATTAATTTTTTTTTATAATGCAAGTGAATTTGTAGTGTTTGTCCAAAATATGTATTTATGTTTTGGGACATTTCATTCTTAAGAGGGGACATCTGAGTAACAGGCGAAAAAAGCGGATTTTCTGGATCTTTTTTTGGCCAATCGAAAATTTGTAAATGAGGTTTTATTATATTATATTTAAAGTACAAAATAAATTTTTTTTTAATAAATCGAAAACAAAATGGCGGCTCTGCAGCCTTTATTCGTAGGCTCTATTTTTTAAAGGGGGTCCATGGCCGAACACCTAACGTCCTTAATTTTTGATCTAGAACAGAGGTCGGCACGGCCCTATCCCGAGGGCATAGGAAATTTCTCTGCCCGAGCTCTGCCACACACACACAGTGTGAATGTGTGAAACGTCATGCTCACAGCCTACTTTCTGCTATTCGGAACTAACACTAATGCGTTAAAATCATATTAATGTATTGGGGTGCCGACCACTAATCTAGAACAAAAAATCAAGTTTGGTTAGTTTCTGTATATCAACGGCTATCGACACACGTATGATTTTTTCGATATATTGATTTTTTGCAAAATGGTGAGTGATTGAAAAAAACTTTCAATTTTCACAAGCAAAAAACGTCACAAAATGGTTGATAAAAAGAAGAGTAAGCACTATAAATCCTACGTGTGTCGATAGACATAGGTATTCTGAGTATACTGTCAAAATTTTAGATCGATAGGTTAAGAGTTGTTCGAGTTATGTGTTCGGCCAACTCAAAAAAAGCTGTTTCGAGAAAAATGCGTTTAAAGTTTTAAGTACTGTGGGATATACCTATGAAAAATTTCGACACTTAGACACTTTGGCCGGACTCTATTTTTAGATATGTTATTTTAAAAACTCTAATAAATTTTTAAAGCGAAAAAAAAAAATATTCAATTTTTTCAAAACTTTACTCAGATGTCCCCCCTTAAGACAGATTTATTTTAAGATTTTAAGAAATGTTCCCCCCAAAAACAGATATATATCACAAATATCGGTAATAGTTGGCCGATTCTTAAACAAATTTTCTTACCATGAAATGTATGAAATTGTTATACCAGGGACTGCAAATAAGACTTATGAGTTGAAAAAAATTGAACAACAAAAAAATCTTTGTTTGGAGTGGGAAAAGGACACATATACCATACACATATACACATATTTTTTAACGGTGAATTCAGAAACACAATAAACTTTTATATCAATTTCTAATGCTAAAATTGAAATATAACTCTTATTTTCAATTTTTATAATAATAATTCAGAATAAGAATTATTTTTCAATTTTTATAAAAAAAATAAAAATACAAAATTATGATTCAATTTTTATAAAAAAAAAATTGAAAATAAGTGTTAGATTAAATTTTTAATATAAAAATTTAAAATAAAAATTGAATGCAAATAATTTCTGAACCGAGTGGACTATTACAAAACCGCTTACATTTTTATGATCTGTGGCGCAGTACCTTTCAAATGATGTATCGAATGTCCTTAAAGGACATAATCAAGGATTCCTTAATAATTCCATAAATAACAGTGTTCATTACAAAAGGAAGACTCGATTATGTGAATTATGTGAAGAAAAATTTTTTAATAATGGCATCTGCAATGACAATATTACTCTTTATTAAAAAAACAGGTCCTAAAAATGTTTTAATCATGGAATCCTCAATTATTCAATTTATTTAGTTATATTTCTACTAGAAATAAATTATAAATTGAATCGTAACACTTATTTTCAATTTTTTTAATAAAAATTGAATCATAATTTTTATTTTTATTTATTTTATAAAAATTGAAAAATAATTTTTATTCTTAATAATTATTATAAAAATTAAAAATAAGAGTTATATTTCAATTTTTGTCATAAAAATCAACAAAAAATTTTTGTTTTATAATTTTTATTTTAAAAATTATAACAATTACGGTCCCTGTGTTATACAATATAAATTATAAAAATGTTACAATAATGTCAAGGTTCTTGTATCGATATTGATGAAGTATGTTTGTTCTTTTCGATATGTGTCGGAGGTGGTGGTTTGACCAAAATTAAAACACCCGCCAATATAATGAATACATGGGAATTTATTTTTTTCACGAAAAGTGCATCATAACTCCAGATAAGCACTATAATGAATGAAAATATTAAATTTGGGAATCTGGTTTGAAATTATTAAAACAAAATTAAACCTGTCGACACTAAGCACTTTTTCATAAACAGGCTTAAGCACTGATTTCAGCGAAACGCGATGAAAAGTTTTCAAGGAAACACTTTTAAAACGTCGTCTATTAAGTTATCTCTTAATTTTATATGTTTTTGTTTAAAAATATCAATTATTTTTTTTTTTACTTTATGGGTAACTGGAAATAAATATAATACAATTAATTTTATTCAATTTCCATATTTTTTTTCAGCATTAACTTCGAAATATAGGGAAAAATTAAATAATCGCCAACTGACGTGGACTCATACAGGCCCATTAGTCTTTTACCATCCCTGGAAAAAATCATGGAAAGGCTGATCCTGAACAGGCTACTTACTCTTGAGAATGTCACCAGTGCCATCCCGAAATTCCAGTTCGGCTTACGTCTTCAACATGAGTTGTTAACTTTACCTCAGAAGCCTTTGAAAAGAAGGAGTATGCAGTTGCTGCCTTCCTTGACATTCAGTAGACTTTTGACAGAGTATGGCAACCTGGGCTCCGGTTTAAAGCAAAAAGTCTTCTTACCCCACAGCTGTTTTAGCTCGTGAAAAGCTTCCTGGAAGAACGCACCTTCCACGTATCTGATGATGGATACAAGTCGTCCACCAAACCGATCTCTGCTGGTGTTCCCCAAGGTAACGTCCTCGGCCCTACTCTATACTCTATCTATGCTTCAGGTATGCCTACACAAACTCCAATCACTGAAGTGAATAAGCAAGACGTGCTAATTGCATTCTATGCTGATGACACTGCTGTCCTGACCAAAAGCAGTAGTATCTTGGCAGCCACTTTTGCCTTGCAGGAGTATCTGGACGCATTTCACCAATGGGCCACGAACTGAAACATTCGTGTAAACGCAGACAAATGTACCAATGTAACGTTTACCAATTGCCGAAGTACCTGCCCAGGAGTCAACCTCAACGATAGTCCAATCAGAGCCCTTCCTGCCAATAAGTACCTTGGTGTCACTTTGTACAAAAAAACTCACATTTGGCAGGCACATTACCTGTATCGAAAACTCGTTCAGGACTAAAGTGGCTCGGATGTCTTGGCTCCTCACACCACGCAACAAGCTCGCACTGTCATGTAAGGTGCAGATATTCAAGTCCATATTAGCGCCAAGCCTTTTCTACGGACTCCAGGTTTATGGTATCGCTGCAAAAACCAACCTGAACAAAATCCGAGTTTTGCAAGCGAAAACTCTTCGAAGATTCTCTGGAGCTCCGTGGTTTATGCGAACCAGAGACATCGAACGAGATCTCAACGTGCCCAAAATCGGAGACAAGCTGCAGGAACATGCTCGGAAACAAATGGAAATGGACTAAATGAGCACCTCAACAGCCTAGCTAAAAAACTTGGTACCGCTGCTATTAGGAGAAGAAGACTGAAAAGACACCACCCTCAAGACCTACCAAACCGGATCTCGACCTAGCCATTTCGTCATCCTCGACATAAACATAAATAAAAATAAAATAAAATAAAAAACTATTTGTCGGTCACAACATTATCGATAGTTAAGTTAGTATAATTAGGAAATGTAGTATTTTAAGTTATCGATCTTTAATTACGGTCCTACAAATAGTTGTAATGTGAATGCTGCCGAAAAGTGCTTCTCATTGTTTTGTGAATTGTAGGAGGGCACACTGCGGTAAGAAGAAGAGCTAAATTTGAATTGTAGACTAATTTATGAATTTACAGAATAAAACCGTTCCGTTCCGTACGTCATAGCAATAGGCCTTTGAAGTTCACCTTTCTTTGGACCTACGCGTGGGGGGAGCCGTTTAAGGCAACTCCGCACATGCCACAAGACGACATCTTTTATTCGCAGTCCTAGGGAGACTGCAAGGGCAACTTGCGCTGGAGGACGGCTTGACGACCAGCTACAGAGTTGCCAGGAGCGCACGGAGCGCAGTTCTCGTACCTGCAGAGGAGTCGCAGCCAGCGACGTAGAGGGCGTAGCCAGCGCCGACCTCTGAGTACGGACGGAGTCGCAGCCAGCGACACGGAGACGCAGCCAGCGTCAGGTTAGGAAGCGCAAGGAGCGCCAAGCATCAGCGGCAGCAGCCAAACGGCACAGGTCCGTTATTTTGGAGTCTGCCATTTTGGAGCGCTAGGGCAGCGCCATATCCGCATCATATTTATTAGGATACTTGGAGATGCAGCATTCCCCCAGGAGGAGTACCCGGCTGAACGCAGGGGAAGCCACCCCTACAACAACGCAGCAGCCAGCGAGTAGTGCAGCAGAAAACCGGCCAAGGGTTAACATAACCACGTCGGCGGCCATTTCTCGCCCAGCCACTACAGTGACTACAGTAGCGTCCCAACCAAGGAGTACTGTAACAGCAGCTGCGAGCTCAGAGCCGGAGGTGGGCCAGCCACTCACGCCGTACCTTTTGGATAGGATCACGGCGTTGGAGAATGAGCTGAAGCAGGTTAGAGACATGAACACAGCGAGCACCGCCAATTGCGCGCCAATCGCAGTTGGCCCAAGCGCAAATGGCGCCAACAGTGGAGCGGACCGCCATTAGCCGCCACATCGAACGGTGAGGCCCAAACTAACGGAGTCGGGCCGGTCCCAAATAGCAGTTTTGGTGCGACCAGTGTGACCTACACGCTGCCGCCATCTTGGAGTGGACCACCGTTGCTAACGACTAGCAACCCACTGTGTGCTACAAATGCTGCGCAGACAGCGCATGGATTCGTGCTACCGGGCGGGAGCATCCTCAACGTGGCAACTGCATCGCAATTTGTGGGATCCTACGCCTCGATGACACCGAATGGAGCCCAAGGAGCGAATGGGCCAAGGAGGCTCCCGGGCTTGCCTATATTTGTAGGGCAGCCCGAGGATTGGACCATCTTTAATTGTGCATTTGTGGAGACGACCCAAGCGTACAACTGCACGGACCTGGAGAACAACCAGAGGCTGTTGAAGGCGCTGAAGGATGAAGCACGCGAGACTGTGAAGTCGCTGCTGATTCACCCTGCGAACGTCAGAGCCGTGATGGAGCAGCTGCGTTTTAGGTTTGGCCGACCGGAGCAGCTAATACGCAGCCAGCTGAACAGCGTGCGAGAGGTGCAGCCGATTACGGAGCAAAACCTGGCGAGGATCGTTCCCTTCGAAACTAGAGTGAGTAACCTCACGGCCTTCTTGCAGTCGGCGAAGGCGGAGCAACATATGGGAAACCCCACCCTCATGGAGGAGCTTGTGGCAAAGCTTCCTACCAGCAAACGAGTGGATTGGGCCAGGCACGCTGCATCAATCGAGCCCTTTCCCACTGTAGCGCACTTCAGCGTGTGGCTACAGGAGTACGCAAAAATCGTGTGTACGATTTTGGACGTCGAGGGAAAGGACCCGAGGCGTCGAGTTCTACACGCGAGCGTCGACCAGAACGGATACGAGCAGCGGGATGACCGGCATGGAGGTTGCCCAATTTGTGGAGGGCAACATGCTACGACGAGCTGCAGGGAGTTCATCGGAGCTTCGCCACCGGGCAGGTGGAGCATGGTGAAGACGCATCGGCTCTGCTTCACATGCTTACGGCATACGACCAGATCCTGCGATGTGCATGGCGAGTGCCAGATCAACGGATGCCGCAGATTGCATCACCGTCTGCTACATGGAGAGGACGAAGGGCGAAGAAGGCCGGAACAGCGAGGTGGCTTCAGGCGCCACAACGGAGGGAACCAGATGTCAGCTGTTTCCAGACGCAGCCCGGAAAGGAGGTCTTCGCCACGAGGTGGTTACAGGGACCACGAGAGGACTCAGCAGTCGGCTGTCCGCAGAAACAGCCTGGAGAGAAGGGCCCCGCAGCCGGCGGAGGCGCCCATGCAGAGGAACTTAAGTATTGACGTCGAAGGAGGCCGACTTTTGTTCCGTATACTGCCAGTAACACTGTACGGAGCTGGTCGCCAGGTGGACACATACGCGCTGTTAGATGAAGGATCCTCCGTCACGATGATCGACGACGAGCTACGGAGGGATCTGGGATTGCGAGGCGAACATCGACAGCTGAACATCCAATGGTTTGGAGGAAGAGCCAGCAGGGAGCCTACCAACGTGGTGAGTCTGGAGATAAGTGGAGCTGGGAAGCCCACTCGCCACCCGTTGAAGAACGTGTACGCCGTTTCAAACTTGAGACTGCCGATGCAGACGTTAAGTCGACGAGATGTCCAGGGCGTGCAACGGGATTTGAGACTGCCGATGAAGCCCTACAGCAACGTGGTGCCGAAGTTGCTCATCGGACTGGACCATGGACATTGGGGATTGCCACTTAGGACGAGGCGGTTTGCCAGAGAGGGACTGTTTGCGGCCGCAACTGAGCTTGGATGGGTCGTGTTTGGGCCAGTAAGTGGACAATCAACTACGCTGTCACCGAGGTTTTGCCTTCTAGCCGTGTCAATGGACGATTCGATGGAAAAGATGGTGGAGGACTACTTCGAGATGGAAAGCTTTGGTGTGAAGCTCGCGCCACCGGTCGCAGCCAGCGACGACGCGCGGGCCCAAAGGATCCTCGAAGACACCACGGTGAAAGTGGGGCGTCGCTACCAGACGGGATTGCTCTGGAAGGACGACCACGCTGTACTGCCACGGATCTATGAGATGGCGCACAGACGGCTGATCAACGTCGAGAAGAAGTTGAAGCGCAACGGGCAGTTGGCTCTGGAATACGACCGTATCATTAAGGATTACGTTTCCAAAGAATATGCAAGGAAGCTGCTGGATGAGGTCGCGGTGAAGAGCGACAAGCTGTGGTATTTGCCACATTTTGGTGTGGAAAACCCAAACAAGCCCGGAAAGGTCCGGCTTGTGTTCGATGCTGCAGCCAAGGTTGGAGGAACCTCACTCAATTCGGCGCTGGACAAAGGGCCACAGCACTACAAGCCCTTGCCAGCTGTGCTCTTCCACTTCAGAGAAGGAGCAGTGGGAGTCTGCGGGGACATCAAGGAGATGTTCTACCAAGTGCTGATCCGACCCGAGGATTGATGTTCCCAACGGTTCCTCTGGAGAGATGGCAACGACGATCGAGAGCCGGATATATACGAAATGAACGTAATGACGTTTGGAGCAGCCTGCTCGCCAAGAACGGCGCACTACGTCAAGACTGTGAATGCCCTGAAGTATCGGGATTCAGATCCGAGGGCAGTCAAGGCCATCATCGACCACCATTACGTCGATGACTACGTGGATAGTTTCGATACGGAGAGCGAAGCTATTGAGGTATCTAGCCGAGTGAAGGAGATACACGCGGAGGCTGGATTCGAACTATGCCAGTTCTCATCCAGCTCACCCATCGTGGAAGCGGCGTTGGGACCACCTGGACAAGTCAAGACCATCGGATGGGGTGAGTCTGAGCAGAAAATCCTTGGAATGCAGGTAGCAACGGATGACTTCAGATTCAACGTGGAGTATCATCGAGTGCCAAAAAGCGTCCTAAGTGGAGACCGAGTCCCAACAAAGAGGGAGTTTTTGAGCCTGCTGATGTCAACGTTCGACCCATTGGGGTTCCTGTGCTGCCTGATGATTACAGCGAAGCTGTTGCTGCGGGAGATCTGGAGGCAGAAGATCCAGTGGGACGATCCGCTGCCGGAGGAGATAGGCAGAGCCTTTGCTGCCTGGCGCAGAGAGATGGACGCCGTGAGACAGTTCCGATGTCCTCGCCACTATTTTGGGCGTGGAGCAGTTCGGACCATCGAGTTGCACGTTTTCGTGGATGCAAGTCAATCTGCATTCGCGGCGGTGGCCTATTGGAGGGTCACGTACGACGACGGAAACGTGCTGGTTAGCTTCGTGTGCGCAAAGACGAAGTGTGCGCCGATGAGGACGATGTCCATCCCACGGCTGGAGCTGCAGGCAGCGGTCCTTGGAATCAGGGTGATGAACACGGTCAAGGAAGAACACAACGTGGACATCAGTGAGACGGTGTTATGGACTGATTCAAAAACGGTGCTGAAATGGATCGGCAGCACCCACCGCCGGTACAAGCAGTTTGTTGGCAACCGAGTGGCGGAGATTTTGGAGTCGTCGATGGTTTCCCAGTGGAGATGGGTACCTACAGCTGACAACGCAGCGGATGATGCGACGCGGTCGCAGAACAAGGCGGACCTTAGCCCGGAATCCCGGTGGGTTCTGAGATTTGCGCGACGGTGCCGCCAGCAGAGAAGCGAGCTCGAGGAATATGGACTCACAGCGACGGAGTGTGAGGCCGCGGAGAACCTGTTCATCAGGCAGGCCCAATTGGAGTCGTTTCCCGACGAGATAAGGCCGGCGGAACGCGGAAAGGAAGTCGCCAACTCGAGCGAGATTCGAAGTCTGGCGCCGTACATGGACAAATATGGAGTTCTGCGAGTTTATGGCAGAGTCGATGCCGCGCTGTCCATGCCGTACAGTGCGAGGAGGCCTGTGATACTGTCACACAAGCACAGTCTCACGGAGATGGTAGTAAGACACTACCACGCCCAGATGAAGCATCAAAACGTGGATGCGACGATTGCCCAGATCCGGACGAGATTCTGGGTCACGAAGATAAGACGAGTGCTAAAGGAGATAATCTCGTCGTGCAACGTGTGCAAGCTGCAACGGACGCGGCCGATACCGCCGACAATGGGACCCCTTCCAGAGGATCGCTTGGAAGCTGGAGGATGGCCATTCCAGTACACAGGACTGGACTACTTTGGGCCACTGCTGGTGACTGTTGCCCGTTACAGAGAGAAGCGTTGGGTCGTCCTGTTTACATGCTTGACGACAAGGGCGATTCATTTGGAGCTGGCGCATGACCTGTCAACGGATTCCTGTATAATAGCGATCAGGAACTTCGACTGCCGTAGAGGACCAGTACGTAAACTGCGGAGTGACAACGGCAAGAACTTCGTAGGAGCTGACAGGGAGGCCAGGCGATTTGGAGACGTGTTCGAGACGGAAAGGATACAGAGTGAGTTGTCCAGCAGGAGCATTGAATGGGTCTTTAATTGCCCTTCCAACCCGTCTGAGAGTGGAGTATGGGAGCGGATGGTGCAGTGCGTCAAGCGAGTGCTGCGCCATATCCTGAAGGAAGTCGCGCCGAGGGACCATGTGTTGGAGAGTCTACTCATAGAGGCGGAGAATATAGTCAACTCGCGTCCGCTCACCCACTTGCCAGTGGATGCGGACCAAGAGGCGCCGTTGACGCCAAATGACCTGCTCAAGGGAGCAGCTAACCTGCCAGATACGCCTGGATTGGATGCGGAGCTGCCCAAGGAGGGTTCTACGCGAAAGCAGTGGAGGATTGCCCGCATGCTGCGAGACCGCTTCTGGAGGAGGTGGGTCATGGAGTACCTGCCTACGCTTGTGCGCCGCGAGAAGTGGTGCCGGAGAACGGAGCCCATCCGCCAGGGCGATATGGTCTTCGTCTGCGATCCTGCCTTGCCCAGACGAGAGTGGCGCAAGGGCATCGTGGAGGAGGTCTACAGCGGATCTGATGGAGTCGTCAGACGCTCCACTGTGCGCGTAAATGATAATGGACTATCTTGGACAATGTTGCGGCCCGTCTCTAAACTTGCAGCTTTGGATTTAAGTGAAGCGGGCCTTCACGGGGTCGGGGATGTCGACGGTCACAACATTATCGATAGTTAAGTTAGTATAATTAGGAAATGTAGTATTTTAAGTTATCGATCTTGAATTACGGTCCTACTAATAGTTGTAATGTGAATGCCGCCGAAAAGTGCTTCTCATTGTTTTGTGAATTGTAGGAGGGCACACTGCGGTAAGAAGAAGAGCTAAATTTGAATTGTAGACTAATTTATGAATTTACAGAATAAAACCGTTCCGTTCCGTACGCCATAGCAATAGGCTTTTGAAGTTCACCTTTCTTTGGACCTACGCGTGGGGGTTAAATAGTGTCGCCACAAGACGACACTATTTAATCACTTCTTGCCCTAAGTAACGCTTAGACTAAGTATTGTTAAAATTTGTAAAAACCGATTCGATTAAACTGCCAATTGGGTAGCAGTGCGCTAATCTTAAGAATAAAATTTCCACATTCAAAACGTTAAAAAAAAGGAACTAATGAAGTTCTAATGGACATCACGACCGGACTCATCCCATTTCCCAAAGAGTTCTGTCACATCACAGATTTAAAAGAGGAGCTTATCCAGTATGTTTTCCCAGATATCGCCCAAAAGTTCAACAACCATAATTGGCTGGGTGAACGAGCCATATTGGCAGCGAAAAAAAAAGATGTCAAGGCTTTCAATGTGAATATTCAGAATTTTCTTCCAGGACATTTGGTTTCCTTCAAATCAGTCGACACCATTATGAACCAGGATGACGTTGTCAACTATCCTCCGGTTTTTTTAAGTTCACTGGAATTGCCTCACAGTTTGCAGGTAGAAGTAGGATCAGTTGTCATCATAGAGCGTAACTTTAATAAGCCTCGACAAAGCAATAAAAAAAAACCTGACTGGCTGTGAAGAAATAACGTCAATGAGGCAACAAACATAACAGGAAAATACAAAGGAGAGAATTTCTTGATCGCTATGGGTTTAAAGGATTTACCCTTCGATTTTAAACGCTTTTTAAAACAAAAATAATAGTTTATGAGAAAAATTTAAATCGATCGAAGTGTGTTTCTGTTAATTCTAAATTTAAACCTTATAAATAGACAGTGTTTCAGGAAAACTTTTTATTAAGCTATTACTTTTTTTTAATGAGGAACATGATGTGTCAAAAATAATAATACAACTTCATGCATCATTAAAAAAAATTAATTTTTAGGCAGTACGAATTCTGTCGGGTCAGCAAGTAAAGCCTAGTACTGAGTTGACAAAAATCCGCTGTTGAAAATCCGATAACGATATCGCACTTTATTCAGCTACCGAGCTAGTGTGACCAAAAAAATTAAGAAAAAAGGTAAAACTGAACAGCTGTTGTTTGTAAACAAAAAACAAATAAGCAAAAATTAATTCAAAACGATTGGATGTTGGTGTTTTGTTTATGTATTTCGCCGCTAAGGAGCTGATTAAGAAATAGAAAACTGGGTCAAAATCAAAATCAATCACAAATCATTTCAATGCCATTTTATGGCATTAAAATGCCCCTTGTGGGTCAAATCCCATATTATGGGCTTCGCCTTGACCACACTAATTAATTTCAATTTATTTCAATTTTTTTCGGGCCGACTATTTTTTTGTTTGATCAATTGTCACTCCATGTTTCACCTATAGAAATAAATGAAATTAGTTTTTTCAACTCCCCGAGATCAGCTGTTTATTTTGATCCGGCAACGCCATTCAATTTGATAACAAACATTTTCGTCAACTCAGTACCCGCAAAATCTAGGAGGCAAAAATTTCTTCTTCTTCCTTTTTTTACACCGTTTTTTTTAAATGGAGTTTGACAGCTGTCACTCGTTCGACAGCGGATTTTCGTCAACTCAGTACTAGGCTTAAAAATTTAAAATGCATTATAATAAACCCTGCATACAATGAGTTGTGTGAACTCGACTTCTTAGCCCCGTTGGTAAGAGTAAATGAGCGCACAAATTATTGCAAATGATAAAGTGCGTCGAATTTTTTTTTTCATAATAATTGAGTACATTTGCGTAGCGAATGTACGCAAAATATAAGATAATTTTACTTTAATGTTGTAAAATTAAAAATTTTGCGAATTGGAACGGAGTATTTTGAAGGAGTAGATTAATTTTTAAAGAGAATACATGTAGCTTTCCATAGAATGTCATTGCCTTTTTCGCTCTTTCGCTTAGCGTAGCGAATGTACGCAAAATATAAGATAATTTTACTTTAATGTTGTAAAATTCAAAATTTTGCGAATTGAAACGGAGTATTTTGAAGGAGTAGATTAAGGGGAGGGTAAGGTATTAAATTTTTTTTTTTTTTCATTTTTTTTTTATTTTTTAAATTGAATGCATAATATCTGAAGAATATTTTGTCAAAATTTCAAGTCAATTAAAGCAAAATTGACGAAGTTATTAGTTATTGACGAAGTTGCTTGCAAACGTTTTACACTGGATTTTGTTTTGTTAAAAACTTTAAAGCGTTATTCCCACAACTCACGTTTTCAAAGTCGGTGCCCCTCATAACTTCAAAATTTTAAACACTATTTCTGTACATATTTTACGAGGTAACGCTGTCGAGTTTTTTTTTTTTTTTGTTCATAATTTCGATTTTGCAATGACAAATTAACCGATTTTTTCCCAAAAAATTGAGTTTTTCACTTCAAAGTCTTCGAAATAATTAAAAAATTGCAATTTTCAAAAAACCTTCACAGCGTTACCTGGGGCGAACTATTATTTAACGAATGAACTTGCATTTTTTGATTACAAATGATCCAGCACCGAGTTATGAGGGGCACCGCAATTCAACTTTTTTTGGCGACACGTCCGGACAATTGCTACCATTGCCACATTTTTAAATATTTTTTTGTAAACATTTGATAAAACATTCTTCTAATGTCATACTTTAATATACCGTTGGTTGAATAAATAAATTTTAACTGTGTCGTCAGGAAAAAAATCACAAAAACATGGCTTTTTTCGCATGATTTGACCTTACCCTCCCCTTAATGTTTAAAGAGAATACATGTAGCTTTCCATAGAATGTCATTGCCTTTTTCGCTCTTTCAGAAGGTTATAAAATTTTGGTGTGCAACGCACTGAAGGAGAAGTCTCCGACTCTGTAAAGTATATATATTTATGATCAGGATTACCTCATGAGTTGATATAAGTATGTTCGCCAGTCTGAATTTCTCTAAATACGCGAAAAACTTTCTGGGGATTTTTATATATGTCACATTGATACGACATATCCTATAGATGCCATATTACTGAACGATTGGAAATTATTTCGGTTGAAGAGCCTGGGACTCTTTTTAAATCTTGCATTGTACTTAATTGGTTTAATATTGAAATTATCAAAAGGATCGGCCAATTACATCCAATATTTGCGATTTATATCCAATCTTAACTGCAAGGGTATATTAACTTCGGATCCACCCGAAGTTAGCTTTTCTTTCTTGTTTCAATATTCCTCACATAACTCTTACAGTGACCCAAAGTCAAGTAATGCTCGGACCAATATGTGCCATTTTTTCTAGTCCATTTAATAGTTTAACCGTGTTAGTGCTTGCTGGCTGTCTACATCACTACATCACCATTAATAAGGTTGAGTAAGAAAACGACACACAGCATAGTTACGGCTTGTTAGTGAAGGCAAGTTAAATAATATAAGTCTACTATGATAGGAAGAGAGGTTAAGATTTGCCCATTTGCCAGGAAAATACAGTCTATTTCTACTGTTTCACATATTTCAAGAACTCATTGTTCATTACATTCACTATCCAATAAATTGATTCTACTATTGTCAATAAATTTTTTTAAAGGACTAATCACTCTCTCAACATGGCCATTGGCACGATCGGAAGAGCGATGTACTTTTCGGGAAAACGGTAACTTAGCTCATCCTTTTAAATATGTCGATCCCTTTTTGATCCCTGTTTTACTTAACTCGGGATTAAGAGCATGAACTACAACAACAACAACAAAAAAAAACAATTATGTTAAGAAGTACCGAACCGCACTGTTCACATTTTCAACATATCTATGGTTTTTGCCCCTCAAAAGTGTAGATGTTATGGGCCGTTTGGTCGACCAGGGGATTTTAAATTGGCGTAGACGCTACTGTCATTTTGGCTGCGCACAACAGCTACAGCGGAAATGACCTCGATCTAAACTATACTCCATATTTTAGTAACACCCGCTAATCATCCCTGATTAATACTCTAATTAAGGTAGTCTAATTAGCTTAACCGGTAACACTTAGCTTTGCTAGCGCCACCTATTGTACATTTCTAGGTTAGGTTAGGTTAGGTTGAGGCGGCGATGAGGGCCGGTTCTGACCCCCATCCACTTGAGCCGCTGGGGCTCCTTGTGATACCGCACAGGCAAGGATTCTACAAAAGGACCTCTCCCTTCCCACTACTTATGTGCCCAAGGGTGCTCTATCCTTCTTGAACCGGCTCGCGGTCCCATCCAGATTTACGGATGAAGGCTACGAGTCTGTGTGGAGCGACCTCCGCGAGGTCTGTAAGGTCTGTAAGTATAAGGGGATACCTACTGGTTCCTTCTCCGGTAGGAGAGGATTGGTAGTACCTGCTCTTGCTAGTTCGTCGGCGGCGCAGTTACCCTCGTGGTCCCTATGCCCGGGCACCCATATGAAGTGTATGTTATGCTGCTCTGCCATCTCGTTAAGAGATCTGCGACAGTCATTCACTGTCCTGGAGTTGGATGAAAGACCGTCAAGGGCTTTGAGTGCCGCTTGACTGTCTGAGAAGATACAGATTGTGTCCGGATTACCAATAAGTGCTGGGGATCTGAGTGCTTCTCCGATAGCTATTACTTCTGCTTGGAAAACACTACAGTGGTCTGGGAGTCTGAAGGACTCATTTAAACACAGCTGTTCGCAATGGAAACCGCCTCCCACCTGGCCATTCAATTTTGAACCGTCTGTGTAAATATGGAGGGAACCGGCTGGTCCCGGGATTTGTGTGTCCCATTCCTCCCTTGTTGGAATGTAGACCTTGTATTTTAAGGTGGGATTATCAACAAGTACGCAGTAGTC